CAAATTATTCAGTAGACACCTCTTTATTTACTATTCGGTTAAAAGTAACAAAAATGCTCTTTTTTAAAAGCGAATGGAAAGAATAAAAAATACGCATTTTTTTGTCTGTTACCTTTTCTAAGTGAGGTACGTATTTTCCCGACCAAAACCGAGTAAAAACGCAATTGTTTAAACACTTCGTAACCATCTCAGAAACCCACTAGATCGATTTTATGGGTGCAACGACTATCAGATGCTAAATTTATTGTGAAAACAATGTACCACTGAACGTTGTTAAAATTGGAAGCATGTTTCCTTATTAGACCAATATTTTTACAAACTCAAAAGTGCACAACTTCTACTATAAACGATTTAATCTTTTTGTATATTATTTTGACCCGTACGTATATACTAGTGTTTAATATTATCTACATACATAGGTTTTTTTTTCTAATTTCAGCCTTTAACACGGATATGATATATATATGATGTGATTTCGATTAAGTGATAAGCCTACCAAAAGTTTACAAACTCGTACTCCAGTGTTACGTTGACGCAGTCTCGCAATGGCGCCATAATAATCAGTGGCAGATTCAAGTGGGGCCGAGCCGACCATAATTTTTTCAATATTATTTTTTAAAAATGGGAAAAAAACAAAGGCAAATTATAATTAGAATTTAGGTCTAAGAGTGCCATTTCCGGCAATCTAGAGGTGTCATAATCATAAATTTCTTTCCTCAGCCCCAAACATGGTGCCGCCACTGATAATGATAAATTAACTAAATCACCTTTATGTTTGTGAAATCAAAATGCTAACTAATGTTTTGTATGCTCCCTATCTCCCTAGTCCTGTTTGATCGTAAATTAGACGGTATTATTTCCAATAATTTATCACAATATTACTTACACAAAAGTGAAATTCAAAAAGAGGAGAAAAGCAAAAACCTCTTGATTGCTTTTAAAAGTACTGTACATGCAAAAAGAAAGAATTAATGACTGTTTTAAGTTTATCTTAATTTTGTTTTTCATAGTTCGAATTTTGAATACCTTACAAGCTAATCAGTAGATAATAAATCATTATTTTTATGAATGTTAGTTTGGACGAAATATAAAAGCGGGCATAATTATGACTAAAAAGGATAATTTTAAAAACTTTTTATGATGAGTATTTCAGTGGCAGATTCAAGGGTCCCAGCCGTCCCACCATCACTATTTTTTTTCGAGATTTAAAAGTGGAGAAAAATTAAAATTATATTCAAATTCAGTCTGAGAGTGCCATTTCCGACCAACTGGAGGTGCCATAATCATAAATTTTCTTACCTCAGCCCCAACTAAGGTGGGGCTGAGGTGGTAGTCCAGCTACACTCTCCATCTGTAAAAGTCCCTCTCTAGCCTAGCTCTATTTAAATTATTGGATCCGCCACTGGATATTTTGAAAAATTTCGTATGGAAATAAATGTTAATTGCATTGCTTAAAAACAATTAAAAAGCTATATGCGCCAGAGACCAGAGGGCGAAGCCCCCTGGTCCCCAGCCATTGCTTCGGCCTACGGCCCAAGGCTTTATTTTTCATCTCGTCCCCCCATTTGCAGCCACGGATCGACGCCCTTGACTGGGGTAGATTCATGGCAAACATGTCTAGAAATGTCTAAAAAAAATTCACTGATTAAGAAAAAAAAAATGGGTGCCAGTTGTATTCACTTCTAGGGCCTTCTTTTTGAATTTTAAAATGGCCGCTGCCAAAAATTTGTTTAAAAATTAAAAAAATCCAAATAGATCATGTCGTTGTTCATTTATATATCATACAATAGTAAATTTATTTTATGTGATATCATATAAAGGAATCAGTGATGCATTGGGAAGAAAATATTAAGAGCACAAGAAATAACCCCCCCCCCAGAAATCTTGCTCCCCACACACTTTCCATTGGATATTCTTTTGCAAATTTTTCTTAAGTATTCACAAATTTGCCACATATCACCATATTTTGCCATCTGAATCTCCCTAATCACTGAGCATTGACACTTAACTTTCGCCCTTTAATATTTTAAAGCCGCTACAGCTGAATAATTTGTTCCACTTGATGATAATTATGTTCCTGTCTCTTATACACATCTAGATGTGTATAAGAGACAGGAAAATCAAGTTTGTTTCGTATAGACAGCTGTTAAAAGCTGCCCACACTCATCAGGTACAAATACATAGTGAGTAGTCAGTACAATGATTACATTTATGCTAAGAGATATGGGGAATATACGTTGCTATGATTCCTACAAGTTTGTTTCGTATGAACAGCTGTTAAAAGCTGCCCACATGAAGGAAACTGCTTAACCAAAGGAGTTATATACCAAGCGACAGTTACCAGATATGACAACCAAACCCAAGAAACATATATTGGACTAACAGAACACACGTTCAAAACCAGATACAACGGACATAACAGTAACTTCAGGAACAAGACCCAAAAAAATGCTACAACTCTTAGCCAATATATATGGACTCTTAAAAATAACTCTATCCTATATTCGTTAAAATAGAAAATCATAGCCAAGTGCAAGCTATACTCTAAGGCCCAAAAAAGTGTAATCTGTGCCTGATGGAAAAGTATTTCATAATTTGTAAACCAAAATTAGGCACATTAAATAACAAAAATGAATTGGTAATTTCATGTAGACACAGAAAAAAGCATCTATTGTGTAACAACTAAGCAATATTAACACCTCAGTTAGACAATGGTAGGAACCATAGCAACCCATATCTCTTAGCATAAATGTAATCCTTGTACTGACTACTCACTATGTATTTGTACCTGATGAGTGTGGGCAGCTTTTAACAGCTGTCCATACGAAACAAACTTGTAGTAATAAATGCATATGGAAT